GTTGCTAACATTTATGACAGCAAATTTCAATTTACAAAACATAAAATGACTACGTTTTCGTCTTTTGAGCTTCTAGTCATGAAATCTATGCAGCCTACTCAATCACTTTTTATAGCTACTGTTTACAGGCCTCCTGGGCCGTATACAGAGTTCCTCACTTAGTTCCCTGAATTCCTATCGGACCTTGTAGTCATGGCAGATAATATTCACATTTTTGGTGACTTTAATATTCACATTGAAAAGTCCACAGACCCACTCCAAAAGGCTTTCAGAGCCATCATCGACTCAGTGGGTTTTGTCCAACACGTCTCCAGACCAACTCATTGCCACAGACATACCCTGGGTCTAGTTTTGTCCCTTGGAATAAATATTGTGGATCTAAATGTTTTTCCTCATAATCCTGGACTATCGGACCACCATCTTATTATGTTTGCAATCGCAACAAATAATCTGCGCAGACCCCAACCAAGGATCATCAAAAGCCGTGCTATAAATTCTCGGACAACCAAAAGATTCCTAGATGCCCTTTCAGACTTCCTCCACCTACCCAAGGACGTCTGAGTACAAAAATCTGTTAACCACCAAACTGAGCAGCTAAATTTAACCTTGCATAATACCCTAGAAGCAGTCGCACCCGTACAAACAAAAAACATTTGTCACAAGAAATTTGCTCCCTGGTATACAGAAAATACCCGAGCCCTGAAACAAGTTTCCAGAAAATTGGAACGGAAATGGCGCTCCACCAAACTGGAAGTCTTCCGTCTAGCTTGGAAAGACAGTACCGTGCAATATCGAAGAGCCCTCACTGCTGCTCGATCATCCTATTTTTCCAACCTATTGAGGAGAATAAGAACAATCCTAAATGTATTTTTGATACTGTCGTAAAGCTAGCTAAAAAGCAGCATTCAACAAGAGAGGATAGCTTTCACTTCAGCAGTGATAAATTCATGAACTTCTTCGATGAAAAGATCATGAAAGTAAATTACGGACTCCACTTTGAATCTGCGCATTTCTCCAAAGCTCAGTTGTCCTGAGTCTGCACAGAACCTCCAGGACCTAGGATCAATGGAGACGCTCAAGTTTTTTTATCCTGTATCTCTTGACACATTCATGAAAATAGTAATGGCCTCTAAACCGTCAAGCTACATACTGGACCCTATTCCAACTAAACTACTGAAAGAGCTACTTCCTGTGCTTGGCCCTCCTATGTTGAACATAATAAATGGCTCCCTATCCACCGGATGTGTACCAAACTCAAAATAAATAAAAGCCAAACCTTGACCCGGAAAATGTAAAAAACGTTCGGCCTATATCGAATCTCCCATTCCTCTCAAAAAATGTTAGAAAAAGCTCACTGCCTTCCTGAAGACAAATAATGTATACAAAATGCTTCAGTCTGGTTTTAGACCCCATCATAGCACTGAGACTGCACTTGTGAAGGTGGTAAATCACCTTTTAATGGCATCAGACCAAGGCTCTGCATCTGTCCTCTTGCTCCTAGACCTTAGTGTTGCTTTTGACACCATCGATCACCACATTCTTTTGTAGAGATTATAAACCCTAATTGGTCTACACAGACAAGTTCTTGCCTGGTTTAGATCTTATCTGTCAGAAAGATATCAGTTTGTCTCTGTGGACGGTTTGTCCTCTGACAAATCAATTGTACATTTCGGCATCCTCAAGGTATTGTTTTCACTATATATTCTACCTCTTGGTGATGTCATTCGGAAACACAATGTCAACTTTCACTGCTGTGCGGAAAACACACAGCTGTACATTTCAATGAAACATGGTGAAGCCCCAAAATTGCCTACCCTGGAAGCCTGTGTTTCAGACATAAGGAAGTGGATGGGGGAAATGTTTTACTTTTAAACTCGAACAAAACAGAGATGATAGTTCTAGGTCCCAAGAAACAAAGAGATCTGCTGTTGGATCTGACAATTAATCTTGATGGTTGTACAGTCGTCTCAAATAAAACTGTGAAGGACCTTGGCGTTATTCTGGACCCTGGTCTCTCCTTTGACGAACATATCAAGGATATTTAAAGGGCAGCTTTTTTCCATCTTCGTAACATTGCAAAAATCTGAAACGTTTTGTCCAAAAATGATGCAGAAAAGCTCATCCATGCTTTTGTCACTTCTAGATTAGACTACTGCAATGCTCTACTTTCCGGCTACCCGGATAAAGCACTAAATAAACCTCAGTTAGTGCTAAACACGGCTGCTAGAATCCTGACTAGAACCAAAACATTTGATCATATTACTCCAGTGCTAGCCTCTCTACATTGGCTTCCTGTTAAGGCTAAGACTGATTTCAAGGTTTTACAGCTAAACTACAAAGCATTACATGGGTTTGCTCATACCTATCTCTCCGACCTACACGTATGCTATGGTCACAAGACGCAGGCCTCCTTATTGTCCCTAGAATTTCTAAGCAAACAGCTGGAGACAGGGCTTTCTCCTATAGAGCTCAATTTTTATGGAATGGTCTGCCTATCCATGTGAGAGACGCAGACTCTGTCTCGACCTTTAAGTTATTACTGAAGACTCATCTCTTCAGTAGGTCCTATGATTGAGTGTAGTCTAGCCCAGGGTTGCGAAGGTGAACGGCAAGGCACTGGAGAGACGAACCGCCCTTGCTGTCTCTGCCTGGCCGGCTCCCCTCTCTCCACTGGGATTCTCTGCCTCTGTCCCTATTACGGGGGCTGAGTCACTGGCTTACTAGGGCTCTTCCATGCTGTCCCTAGGAGGGTTGCATCACTTGAGTGGGTTGAGTCACAGACGTGATCTTCCTGTCCGGTTTTGCAACCCCCTCGGCTCGTGCGGTAGAGGAGATCTTCGCCGGCTATACTCAGCCTGGTCTCAGGGTAGTAAGTTGGTGGTCTGTTGAGATCTCTCTAGTGTTGTGGGGGCTGTGCTTTGGCAAAGTGGGTGGTGTTATAACCTGCCTGGTTGGCCCTGTCCGGGGGTATCGTCGGACGGGGCCACAGTGTCCCCCGACCCATCTGTCTCAGTCTCCAGTATCTATGCAGCATCAGTCCATGCGCCGGGGGGCTAGGGTCAGTCTGTTATATCTGGTGTAATTCTCCTGTTGTATCTGATGTCCTGTGTGAATTTAAGTATGCTCCCTCTAATTCTCTCGCTCTCCCTCTCTCCCTCCCCTCCCAGAGGACCTGAGCCCTAGGATCATGCCTCAGGACTACCTGGCCTGATGACTCCTGGCTGTCCCCAGTCCACCTGGTCGTGCTGCTGCTCCAGTTTCAACTATTCTGCCTGCGGCTAGAGAACCCTGACCTGTTCACCGGACGTGCTACCTTGTCCCAGACCTGCTATTTTCGACTCCCTCCCTCTACCCCACCTTCTGTCTCGACCTCTGAATGCTCGGCTATGAAAACCAACTGACATTTACTCCTGAGGTACTGACCTGTTGCACCCTCTCCAACCACTGATTATCTTATTTGACACTGCTGGTCATCTATGAACATTTGAACATCTTGAAGAACAATCTGGCCTTAAAATGGTCATGTACTCTTGTAATCTCCACCCGGCCCAGCCAGAAAAGGACTGGCCAACCCTCAGAGCCTGGTTCCTCTCTAGGTTTCTTCCTATGTTCCTGCCTTTCTAGGGAGTTTTTCCTAGCCACCGTGCTTCTACATCTACATTGCTTGCTGTTTGGGGTTTTAGGCTGGGTTTTTGTATAGCACTTTATGACATCTTCTGATGTAAAAAGGGTTTTATAAATAAATGTTATTGATTGATTAATTGACTTGACCCTCTGACTGGTATCACTTCTTTCTTTTCTTTCCAAAATACTTGAGTGTGCTGTCTCTTACCAACTCTCTCACTATCTCTCTCAGAATGATCTTCTTGACCCTATCCAGTCAGGTTCAAGACGGGTCACTCAACCAAGACTGCTCTTCTCTGTGTCACGGAAGCTCTCCGCACTGCCAAAGCTGACTCTCTCTCCTCCGTTCTCATTCTCCTAGACACCATGAACCGTCCTCTCCACCCTCTCAGGGCTGGGCGTCTCAGACTATGCACACTCTTGGATTGCATACTACCTGGCAGGCCGCTCCTATCAGGTGACGTGGAGAGGATCTGTGTCTGCACCATGTACTCTCACTACTAGTGTCCCCTAGGGCTTGGTTCTAGGCCCTCTCCTCTTCTCTCTATACACTTGGCTCCGTCATATCCTTACATGGTCTCTCCTATCATTGCTATGTGGTTGACACTCAACTACTATTCTCCTTCCCCCCTTCTGACACCCCGGTGATGTCAAGCATCTCTGCATGCCTGGTAGACATCTCAGCTTGGATGTCGGCCCACCACCTCAAGCTTAACCTCGACAAGACGGAGCTGCTCTTCCTCCTGGGGAAGGCCTGCCCGCTCCAAGACCTCTCCATCACGGTTGACAACTCCACATTGTCCCCCTCCCAGAGGCCAAATAACTTTTGCGTGACCCTAGACAACACCCTGTCGTTGTCTGCAAACATCAAAGCAGTGGCTCACTCCTGCAGGTTCATGCTCTACAACATCCGTAGAGTAAGACCCTACACGCAGGTCCGAATCCAGGCTCGCTGTTGGTTGGGCTCCCCGCTTGTGCCATCAAACTCCTGCAATTTATCTAGAACGCTGCAGCCCGCCTGATTTTCAACCTTCCCAAGGTCTCCCATGTCATCCCACTCCTCCACACACTCCACTGGCTTCCAGTCAAAGCTCGCATCCACTACAAGACCATGGTAATTGCTTACGGAGCAGCAAGAGGAACTGCCCCTCCCTACCAGGCTCTGCTCACACCCTACACCCCAACCCGAGTACTCTGTTCTGCCACCTCTGGTCTATTGGCCCTCCCACCCCTACGGAAGGGCAGCTCCGGCTCAGCCCAGTCCAAGCTTTTCTCTGTCCTGGCATTTTCATGTGCATGTGAGGTGTAGTTTAATGTGTTTATTGTATTTTTATGTGTATTGTTGATCTATACAGAGCTCATCTGTAAAATAGACATTGGACTCAGCATTGACTCCCTTTCAAAATAAAGGTTAAATTAAAATCATAAAAAAATTCAGAAGCTCATCTTGAATTGAGATTCACAGTAATTGACTATTTGCTTTTATTTGTCATTGTATAGTAACAAACTTGTCTCACTAAATTATGAGTAGGGATACAATTCCAACCAATTTAGTTTTACTGAGTAGCCTAGCAAAACATATTGCAATTCTTTGGGACAGTAGTTCAGAAGACCTGTCAATGACTCCAGCACATTGTCAATAAAAATAGGATATTTTTATACTGCACTGACAAAAATACTCTGAAAGGTGGGGTAACAATACCACACTGTTTCTCTCATTGTTGTAGTTCTTTGCTGGCAGCCAGAGCTGATCCTAGAACAGTGACAAAGCGGTGTACGTCACTAAAGGAGTTGTAGAGCGGCACCGGAGCAATGCGCAGAACGTTGGGTTCCCTCATGTCACACTGAGATCGCATGGAGAGAATAGATTAAAAAACAGCAACAGTCAATTACAAAACATAGATTAAAATGTATGTATAATCATGTGTAAAACACATTTATACTGAACAAAAATATAAACGCAACATGCAACAATTTCAAAGATTTTACTGAGTTACAGTTCATAGAAGGAAATCAGTCAATTCAAATAAATTAAATTATACCTTAATCTATAGATTTCACATGAATGAGCAGGGGCGCACCCATGGGTGGGCCTGGGAGGGCATACGCCAGGACCAGCCAATCAGAATTAGATTTTCCCCACAAAAGGGCTTTATTACAGACAGAAATACTCCTCAGCACCCTCCCTCCCCCTCCTCTGATGATCCTGAAGGTGAAGAAGCTGGATGTGGAGGTCCTGGGCTGGGGTGGTTTACGTGGTCTGCGGTTGTGAAACTGGTTGGATGTACTGCCAAATTCTCTAAAACGACGTTGGAGGCGGCTTATGGTAGGGAAATGAACATTCAATTATCTGGCAACAGCTCTGTTGGACATTCCTACAGTCAGCATTCCAATTGCACGCTCCCTCAAAACTTGAGACATCTGTGGCATGGTGTTGTGTGACAAAACTGCACATTTTAGACTGGCCTTTTATTGTCCCCAGCACAAGGTGCACCTGTGTAATGATCATGCTGTTTAATCAGCTTCTTGATATGCCACACTTGTCAGGTGGATGGATTATCTTGGCAAAGGAGAAATGCTAACTAACAGGGATGTCAACAAATTTGTGCACAAAATTTGAGAGAAATAGCTGTGGTCCTCTGTAGCTCAACTGGTAGAGCACGGCGCTTGTAACGCCAAGGTAGTGGGTTCGATCCCCGGGACCACCCATACACAAAAATGTATGCACGCATGACTGTAAGTCTCTTTGGATAAAAGCGTCTGCTAAATGGCATATTATTATTATTAAATAAGCTTTTTGTACGTATGGAACATTTCTGGGATCTTTTATTACAGCTCATGAAACATGGGACCAACCCATTACATGTTGCATTTATATTTTTGTTCAGCATACATATTAAGGGCTTGTGTTCCATACCCAGATTACATGTAAACCCACATCTGGACTAAAAATCTCAGTCAAAGTAAAAAATAATAATACAAAAGACTATGCTTTTTAGTCCAGGACTAGGCTTAATATGGGTCTGGGAAACTCGCAGAAAACTGTACTACTATTGTATATATGAAGGCACTCACAGCGACACCCCTCTTCTCCAGCTCCTGGAACACGGCTGCGATGGGGACAGAGAAAGAGAGGGAGAGTTGGCAGCCTCGTTCCTCAGGGTGGGAGGGAGTGATGATATGGACGTAGGGCTTGTGAGGCTGGGCCTCGTCCTTGTTGTAGTAGTGCTGGATCAGACACTCCAGGTAACCCGTCAGAAGTCTGGACTTCTTCCTCAGAGCTGCCATACTCGTCATAGCAAAGACCTGGAAGTATTGATAAATATTGACAACTAATCAGTTATTGCCAGGGCTGGGGTCAATTCCATTTAAATTCCAGTCAATTCAGAAAGTAAAAAGTTGAAAAACATTGAAGAGAATTTGAATTTCAGTGTACTTCCTGGATTGACTGGAATTGAAAAGTAGTTGACCCCAACCCTGGTTATTACAACAGTTACAGGTCACTGTTAAACTCCATGACTAGAGAGATGAGGACATTTTAAATTACAGTATGAACATGTTCTAATATTTGCTGCATGAAATAGATATGAAAACCCCAAATTATTCCAGTCACCTCTAAACTAGCTTGCAGTGGACACACCAGCAGGATGGGTTGGTTTGATAGTCGATAGCCACTTATACCAGGTAGTAGATCCATGTCTATGGTAAGAAAAAATGTATGATGTTCGTGATTAATTCATTTGGGTTCTGGCTTGACTGAAAGGGTGAAATGAATACAGTATAACCTATTTTCTGTAATACCCTAATATGACCGCAAGATGTCAGTGTAAATCAAGCTTCATGGATTTCTCTGTTCAGAGACCCATTATGCTAACTTGAAGTAACATTCTGTAATGTGTCCCAGTACAGGGAATAAAATGAGAACATGAGCACAAATATGTTGATACCATTATCCATGCGGAATCTTGTTTTCAAGTTATGTCCCCACCATCCCATGAGCCTGAGAGAGAAAGTAACAAGTAGTTAATGATACAACATAGTCAACATGCAATAAGAACACAAATCTGAGATGTACTCCACTGTAATACTCACGCAGGTTTGACTGTATGTGCATTCTTCTCATGGATAAAAGCTCCAGCCAGTCCACCAGCCCCAGAATTCACATACTACACATGAATAACTCTGTCAACACATTGCATAGTTTGTCTGCCTTTTTTCTACAATATTCAATGATAATCGACAATACTTGAAATGGGCATCGATAACAACTGCAAGAAAATCTTTGTTGGCAATATTAAGCTAGAATAAGTCAATTTCTACCCCACATATTGTTGTCTTCCTGTGTCAGCAGGAGTTGGACAGGAAACTGAGAGTGAAGCCACCGCTAGCTGTTCATTTGCCCTTGATGTCTCCACATGAACCCCAATGCTGACCTTGTAGGAGCACCAGCAGGCAAAGTCCACTCCCCAGTCATGCAGCTTCAGCTCTGCATTGCCCACTGCGTGTGCACAGTCAAATCCAACGTAGCAGCCCTGTGGGAAGAATAAAAATGCACTGTCATGCCAGATGCTAAGGGCAGCAGGCCGGAGCTGTGCAGTCAGGACACAGAGGCAGTTCATCAGCATGTGTGTCTGTGTGTCTGTGTTTGTTTGCGTGGGTGGGTGTCTATTTAAGATCAGCTTAATAAATAATTAATGTGTCCTAGTGGGGGTATTATTCTGAGGATCATTAGGACTCTGATTAAGTCTGGTTGTTTTGATTTCCCTGCTAAATGTGACAGAGAGGGAAGGCTGCTCACTGTGTGTGTGTGTGTGTGTGTGTGTGTGTGTGTGCGTGCGTTTGGTTTGACATCTCCTGAGTGTCATCATTTATTTCCTTGTCGACACACTGCTGTTTATTTGACAAATGTCATTCTCAGCATGCAGTGAATTGGAATGGGCATCAAACACTTGCCATGAGGTGAATTCAGACAAATGCTGTGAACCATCCATGTCAAATTGTTACACATCCTTGACAACAGAGGGCAGGGCGCTGTTGGCGCACCTGTTGTGTCTTACAAAATGCTTTTTTTTGTTTTAAATAACATGCTTCATTAGCTCAAAAGCCAATTGTTAATGATAACATTATACAGTAGATTGAAGCATGATCCAATAAGTTGACTATACACAATGGTTACAATGGCCATTATCAATTATAAACAGGTGTTGAATTTGGAATTCAGAGGTGGAGGAGCCCTCTAACCCTAATCCTAGCTTCATGTTCACATCCTGGTTCAACTCTAACCCTCATCCACAATCCAAAGTCTAGCTTCATATCCACATCCCTGTTCAACCCTAACCATAGCCTTAACCACAACCCTCATCTTAACCCTAGATTCATGTCCACATACTAGTTCAACCCTAACCGTAGCCTCAACCATAACCCTAGCTTCATATCCACATCCCTGTTCAACCCTAACCCTAGCTTCATATCCACATCCCTGTTCAACCCTAACCCTAGCTTCATGTCCACATCCCAGGCTTGTAACACTAACACTAGGTTCATGTCCACATCACGGTTCAACCCTATCCCTAGCCTCAACCACAACCCTAACCCTAGCTTCATGTTCACATCCCGGTTCAGCCCTAACCCTAACCCTAGCTTCATGTCCACATCCCAGTTCAACCCTAGCCTCAACAACAACCCTAACCTCAACTCTAGCCATATGTTAATTCCTAACCCTAACCTTGGTTTATCCTATTTTGCTCTTCAAAACCTAAAAATTGCTGGAGCTCGGCTCAGTCGGTCTCTCTTTTTGACCCAAGGTGCAGGAGCCCGGTTCCGGGTAGCTCCAGCCCAATTTAACCACTGATAATAAACAATGACTCATCAATTTCACTTATTTGTCGCAATGTAGTGACAGTATCATAGTTCGGACACCAGAGGGCAGTGTTACTCTCTTGACCGTCTAAATTGAACCTTCATAAAACACCATCAAGATCATGTTGGAGTACCCTCTAAGGCGTGGGATCAATAACTACAAATAATTTGTAGACTACAAATTGATCGCAAAAAAGCCCAAATAGAGATCATATTTGACTAAAACATAATCATTTCAAACCTTGCATATATTGGTATACGAACACATACACTACATGACCAAAAGTATGTGGACACCTGCTCGTCGAACATCTCATTGGCGTTGGTCCCCCCTTTGCTGCTATAACAGCCTCCACTCTTCTAGGAAGGCTTTCCACTTGATCCCTCAAACTCAACTCTGGACCTCAAAGCCAGTTCCACTGCATTTTTCATAATTCCCTTCTAATCAGGGATTTAGACCTGGGACACCAGGTGTGTGCAATTCATTATCAGGTAGAACAGAAAACCAGCAGGCTCCGGACCTCGTAGGGTAAGAGTTGAGTACCCCTGCACTAGCGGTTGGAACAATGCTGCGGAGAATTGCTTCCATTTAGCCACAAGAGCATTAGTTTGGTCGGGCACTGTTGCCACAAAGTTGGAAGCACAGAATCGTCTAGAATATCATTGTATGCTGTAGCGTTAAGATTTCCATTACTGGAACTAAGGGGCCTAGCCCAAACCATGAAAAACAGCTCTAGCAGGGCTGAAATTTGACGAACTGACTTGTTGGAAAGGTGGCATCATGACGGTGCCACGATGAAAGTCATTGAGCTCTTCAGTAAGGCCATTTTACTGCCAATTTGTGTCTATGGAGATTGCATGGCTGTGTGCTCGATTTTATACACCTTTCAGCAACAGGTGTGGCTGAAATAGCAGAATCCACTAATTTGAAAGGGTGTCCACATACGTTTGTATATATAGTTTATATCTCTCTTATTATGCTTGGGAATACTTTGGAAATGATTTCCAAAATTAAAATCACTTGGAGCTGATTTGCTGGTGTTTTTTATGGTCTTAAGTCTTGTCCAACAATAATAATACATTTTTAAAAATGTACGTATTACATTTGTGGAACCCTGCTCCTAGGGGATTTGTAAAGGGTTTAGAAGTAGTTTATAGACAATTAAGAATTAATTCAAAAGTTGAAATAACATTTCCCAAAAAGACCCACCCCTTTAAAAAAACACTGAGGGGTGGTTACCTTCTTCTGCCCAGCTTTAGTGATGGTGGCCATATCAAAGAGCTGTCCGGTGTAGTACTGCACTCCACTGAACAAGACCACTGCAATGGAATCTCCCTCCTTTTCTATCGTGTCCAGAATGTCCTCTGTTCTCAGCACCTCCTCATCCTGACAGGTAGAAAACACGGCAGTTGATCAGGGTACATAAATGTCACTTTTAATAACTGTTAATAAACTATTTCTCAACACTCAACTTTACTCTTTATACTCAATTTTAAGACTCAATTTCACTCTGTAAGTGTCCTTGGGTACCTTGAAAGGTGCAAATAAAAGTTTGATTATTTAAGTCCTATTGCCCCAAAAGGGATTACTTTACCGGTCTGGGCTTCATGAGCAGCATGCTTTGCTTAGCGTCATATCCTCTCAACTGGATCTGAGATTCCACAGCATACTGAAGAAATCACGCATGATGAAAATGGTTAGAAAATTGGTCAATTTACCCACTCTCCTCCACCAACACAGAGACAACAGATCAACTGTAGTGGGAATAACAACAGTGGACTATTCTATTACAACAGGGTAAATTATGACGAGTAGGCTCTGCACACTTTCAAGTATTATACAACTTACAACGGTGTCTTTTTAGGGCAAAAACATGAATTATGGTTGAAATACAGTTGAAGAAGGCAAATTACATTCAACACAAAATGACCTTGTGATGGAACATTTTATGTTTGTACTTTTCTAATAACCAATTTCTTTGTTCATGCAAGTCACTGACTCAACGTGCCTGGGAGGAATCCTCACTATCAGTATCTGCAATTTGGCAGTACGCCCAGAACCTTGTTTTGAGAATGAAAGGGATATCTCAGTTTCAAGGTGTCAGCTTGGAGAGAGGAAGCCTTGTGAGGTATTGGTCGGTCACATGCATGAACCAAACGTTAATTATTAATTAATTATGAATAATAAATAAGCTAAATTATGCAAATATAACTTGTCTGTGTAAGCAGTATATAAGAGAACTAACGGGACTGCCCGGGTGGAGAAAATGTTTTATAATAAAACCAATAAAACTAAACATAAATATGTAGAAGGAGGGTACCACTAGTCTCAAGTAATGGTACGAGTTGCTATTCTATATGTATGGTGGCAAGACTATAGAGTCTATAGAGACTATAGAATTTATGACTACATAGACTACTGAGACTATAGACACAGAGTATAGATACGCAAGACTATAGATACTGTAGAAAGTATAGATACTGTAGAGACTATAGATACTGTAGAGACTATAGATACTGTAGATACTATAGATACTGTAGAGACTATAGATACTGTAGAGACTATAGATACTGTAGAGACTATATATACTGTAGAGACTATAGATACTGTAGAAAGTATAGATACTGTAGAGACTATAGATACTGTAGAGACTATAGATACTGTAGATACTATAGATACTGTAGAAAGTATAGATACTGTAGAGACTATAGATACTGTAGAGACTATAGATACTGTAGAAAGTATAGATACTGTAGAGACTATAGATACTGTAGAGACTATAGATACTGTAGATACTATGGCGACTGTAGAGACTATAGAGGACCCGTTAAAGATACATATGAGAGTTGTGAAGGCTAGAGCTAGTCTTAGAGAGTAAACTAGAGCGAGGGCAAGTAACAGTACCATGGAGAAGCCCCGCTGACAGCTGTCTTTAGGCATTTATGAGAAGTGTCTACATGGTCTGCAGAGAACCACTGGGAATAGCATAAGGTGCACTAGGTGCTATTTTATATGTATAGGAAGTAGCGGCAAGAGAACCATTGAAGATACATATGGTGCATAGGAAGTAACGACAAGATAATCGTTGAAGATGCACATGGAGTAATAAGTGAGATTACTGAGAGTGTTTTGGAATAGTACTAAGTGAATGTGGATGTGAGAGTTGTGTGAGTGTGGAAAGGATGTGTTAAGCTGATTTAAATGTGGATAATAAATGGTAAGCTGAGTTCAACAAAGGATTACAATTTGGGATAATAAGAGGATTGAAATTTGGATAACATTACTATTAAGTACTGAGTGAATGAGAGCTATCTGGGGACTAGCTCCGTGTCTGAATGAATACCCCAACCAGTTCTGTGTGAACTGAGTATGAATAGAACACTAGTGTAAAGGAGGAATTTGTGAAGAAGAGTATAATGGGTTACTAGAGATGTGATAAAGTAACAATAGAAAAAAAAATATATATATACAGTGGGGAGAACAAGTATTTGATACACTGCCGATTTTGCAGGTTTCCCTACTTACAAAGCATGTAGAGGTCTGTAATTTTTATCATAGGTACACTTCAACTGTGAGAGACGGAATCTAAAACAAAAATCCAGAACATCACATTGTATGATTTTTAAGTAATTAATTTGCATTTTATTGCATGACATAAGTATTTGATCACCTACCAACCAGTAAGAATTCCAGCTCTCACAGACCTGTTAGTTTTTCTTTAAGAAGCCCTCCTGTTCTCCACTCATTACCTGTATTAACTGCACCTGTTTGAACTCATTACCTGTATAAAAGACACCTGTCCACACACTCAATCAAACAGACTCCAACCTCTCCACAATGGCCAAGACCAGATAGCTGTGTAAGGACATCAGGGATAAAATTGTAGACCTGCACAAGGCTGGGATGGGCTACAGGACAATAGGCAAGCAGCTTGGTGAGAAGGCAACAACTGTTGGCGCAATTATTAGAAAATGGAAGAAGTTCAAGATGACGGTCAATCACCCTCGGTCTGGGGCTCCATGCAAGATCTCACCTCGTGGGGCATCAATGATCATGAGGAAGGTGAGGGATCAGCCCAGAACTACACGGCAGGACCTGGGCAATGAACTGAAGAGAGCTGGGACCACAGTCTCAAAGAAAACCATTAGTAACACACTACGCCGTCATGGATTAAAATCCTGCAGCGCACGCAAGGTCCCCCTGCTCAAGCCAGCGCATGTCCAGGCCCGTCTGAAGTTTGCCAATGACCATCTGGATGATCCAGAGGAGGAATGGGAGAAGGTCATGTGGTCTGATGAGACAAAAATAGAGCTTTTTGGTCTAAACTCCACTCGCCGTTTTGGAGGAAGAAGAAGGATGAGTACAACCCCAAGAACACCATCCCAACAGTGAAGCATGGAGGTGGAAACATCATTCCTTGGGGATGCTTTTCTGCAAAGGGGACAGGACGACTGCACCGTATAGCGGGGAGGATGGATGGGGCCATGTATCGCGAGATCTTGGCCAACAACCTCCTTCCCTCAGTAAGAGCATTGAAGATGGGTCGTGGCTGGGTCTTCCAGCATGACAACGACCCGAAACACACAGCCAGGGCAACTAAGGAGTGGCTCCGTAAGAAGCATCTCAAGGTCCTGGAGTGGCCTAGCCAGTCTCCAGACCTGAACCCAATAGAAAATCTTTGGAGGGAGCTGAAAGTCCGTATTGCCCAGCGACAGCCCCGAAACCTGAAGGATCTGGAGAAGGTCTGTATGGAGGAGTAGGCCAAAATCCCTGCTGCAGTGTGTGCAAACCTGGTCAAGACCTACAGGAAACGTATGATCTCTGTAATTGCAAACAAAGGTTTCTGTACCAAATATTAAGTTCTGCTTTTCTGATGTATCAAATACTTATGTCATGCAATAAAATGCAAATGAATTACTTAAAAATCATACAATGTGATTTTCTGGATTTTTGTTTTAGATTCCGTCTCTCACAGTTGAAGTGTACCTATGATAAAAATTACAGACCTCTACATGCTTTGTAAGTAGGAAAACCTGCAAAATCGGCAGTGTATCAAATACTTGTTCTCCCCACTGTATATATATATACACACACACAACTTGCACACCCACATGTAGACATACATAAGTGGTGTAAAAAGTATTTTGAGAAGTTCAGGGTGCTCCCTTTATGGATCATTTGATAACGATAAGGTTAAAGCATTGTATAACTGTCTAAAGGGTTAGGGAAATAAAGTCTCAGACAAAGATTTGCGCATATCCACTTTTCGTAAAAGGTACGGGACTTGACCTAGCCCTAACCAATAAAACTATAAACGCTTATGGGATTTCCTCCACCCCGGTAATACATTTTGAAATAAAACCCATACCCTGTTCAATGCAACCAATGAATGTTGAACATGATTTTCTGTATTCACCTACTCAACCGTTTAACTTGCTAGGTAGAGACTTATTATGGACAGAGCACCCCATCTATAGGGGACTGATAGACAGTGCCAGCCCAGTTATAGTGAAAGTTGATCCCAGAAAGATATTCTAGTCTCGAGAGCTACCTTAAAAAAGGAAGCTCCCTCCAAAGTGTATCTCTTCCCTTCTGAATTGGCCAATGTATTTTATAATTTTGGCGCATTACATATGAACCTCAAAATAATAGAAATGTAATAAGTGTGAAGCATAAAGTGAATATCCAACAGAAATTGGTATTAAATATATAGAGTAACATTGTTAGGGTAGACTAAAATTAAAACAATGCCTTCCAGTATGGAGAAAGTTCTCATGTTTGTTTTGTTTGTTTTTAAACCTTACAATAGGGGTAAAAGCAGAACATTGTTTGAGAGTGATCTGTGCATATTAGCAGTAGTGATTGAGAAGGTCTTCCTATTGGGAAGAATAGTCCTAGTTGAGGGAAATGTATGGAGACTAATGAAAGTAACAAAGTGAACGGTAATATTAGTGGCTTTCAGATAGCACTCTAATAATGCAATATCATCAGGTAATGGCGCCGGAGGAGATGACTGCCATTTTACGGGCTCCTATCCAATTGTGCTATTGTGTGTGTTTTTTCACATTATTTTTAACTTATTTTGTACATAATGTTTCTGCCACCGTCTCTTATGACCGAAAGGAGCTTCAGGATATCAGGACAGCAATTACTCACCTCGTACTGGACGAAGATATTTTCTTTAACGAGTCGGACGCGAAGGATTTACTTCAGACACGCGACAAGGCCCAAATCCCCATCATTTGCATGAAGAAGAGACGGCGATAATCGGGGACGTAGGTCGGGGTGCCTTGTAAGGTTCCGATGGCGAGTGGGTAATCTGCCTCTACCATCAGTCCTATTAGCCAACGTACAATCATTGGATAATAAAACAGATGAGCTCCGATCAAGAATATCCTACCAACAGGATATAAAAAACTGTAATATCTTATGTTTCACCGAATCGTGGCTGAACGACGACATGGATAACATACAGCTGGCAGGGTTTTCGGTGCATCGGCAAGATAGAACAGCTGCCTCCGGTAAGACAAGGGGTGGCGGTCTGTGTATATTTGTAAATAACAGCTGGTGCACGAAATCTAATATTCAGGAAGTCTCGAGATTTTGCTCACCTGAGGTAGAGTATCTCATGATAAACTGTAGACCACACTATTTACCAAGACAGTTTTCATCTATATTTTTCGTAGCTGTCTATTTATCACCACAAACTGATGCTGGCACTAAGACCGCACTCAACTGTGTAAGGCCATAAGCAAACAAGAAAATGCTCATCCAGTGGCGGCGCTTTTAGTGGCCGGTGACTTTAATGCAGGGAAACATTAATCAGTTTTACCTAAGTTCTACCAGCATGTTAAATGTGCAACCAGAGGAAAAATAAACTCTAGACAACCTTTACTCCAGACACAGAGACGCATACAAAGCTCTCCCTCACACTCCATTTGGAAAATCTGACCAGGAAGCAAGAAGTACCAGTGACTCGCTCAATACAGAAGTGGTCAGATGATGCAGATGCTAAGCTACAGGACTGTTTTGCTAGCACAGACTGGAATATGTTCCGGGATTCTTCAGATGGCATTGAGGAGTACGCCACATCGGTCACTTGCTTCATCAAGAAGTGCATTGATGACATCCCCACAGTGACCGTACGTACATAACCCAACCAGAAGCCATGGATTACAGGCAACATCCACACTGAGCTAAAGGGTAGAGCTGCCACTTGCAAGGAGTGGGACACTAATCTGGACGCTTATAAGAAATCCTGCTATGCCCTCAGACGTACCATCAAACAGGCAAAGAGTCAATACTGGACTAAGATTGAATCCTACACCAGCTCTGATGCTCGTCGAATGTGGCAGGGCTTGCAAACTATTACGGATTACAAAGGGAAGCACAGCCGCGAGCTGCCCAGTGACGTGAACCTACCAGACGGGCTAAATGCCTTTTATGCTTGCTTTGAGGCAAGCAACACAGAAGCATGCATGAGAGCACCAGCTGTTCCGGACGACGGTGTGATCACGATCTCTGTAGCCGATGTGAGCAAGACCTTTAAACAGGTAACTTTCACAAGGCCGTGGGGCCAGACGGATTACCAGGACGTGTACTCAGAGCATGCAAGGACTAACTGGCAAGTGTCTTCACTGGCATTTTTAACCTCTCCCTGACTGAGTCTGTAATACCTACATGTTTCAAGCAGACCATCATAGTCCCTGTGCCCAAGAAAGCGATGGTAACCTGCCTAAATAACTACACCATAGTGCCCACAAAGCTCATCACTAAGCTAAGGACCCTGGGACTAAACGCCTCCCTCTGCAACTGGATCCTGGACTTCCTAATGGGCCGCCCCCAGGTGGTAAGGGTAGACAACAACTCATCTGCCACGCTGATCCTCAACACGGGGGCCCCTCAGGGGAGCGTGCTTAGTCCCCTCCTGTACTCCCTGTTCACCCACGATTGCGTTGCCAAGCACGACTCCAACACCATCATTAAGTTTGCTGACGACACAACGTGGGAGGCCTGATCACCGACAACGATGAGACTGCCTATAGGGAGGAGGTCAGAGACCTGGCTGTGTGGTGCCAAGATAACAACCTCTACCTCAACGTGAGCAAGACAAAGGAGGTGATCGTGGACTACAGGAAAAGGAGGGCCGAACACGCCCCCATTCACATCGACAGGGCTGTAGTGGAGCAGGTCGAGTTTCAAGTTCCTTCGTGTCCACATCACCAACAAACTATCATGGTCCAAACACACCAAGAAAGTAGTGAAGAGGGCACGACAATGCCTTTTCCCCCTCAGGAGACTGAAAAGATTTGGCATGGGTCCCCAGATCCTCAAAAAGTTATACAGCTGCACCATCGAGAGCATCCTGACCGGTTGCATCACCGCCTGGTATGGCAACTGCTCAGCATCCGACCGTAAGGCGCTACAGAGGGTAGTGTGTACAGCCCAGTACATCACTGGGGTCAAGCTTCCTGCCATCCAGGACTTATATACTAGGCGTGTCAGAGGAAGGCCCAAGAAATTGTCACAGACTCCAGTCACCCAAGTCATAGACTGTTCTAATAAGCTAAATCATGCAAATATAACTTGTCTGTGTAAGAAGTATATAAAGAGAACTAACCGGACTGCCACGGTGGAGCTCATTTCAGACCGATACTTTATGCATCTAAGTTTGACTGTGAGCTCTCCAGCTTACTGTTAATAAACAATGATTCATTTAAAATTGACTTCAGGTGGGTCTAGTGGTAATTTCCACAACAACCTGCAGTCATTACACCAACACCCTGTAGGTTTAAAACAAGCTCTGTGTCATTGGAATAACTCACATGGTCTGAGGGGAAAGCCTTGTCCTCAAGAAGGATTTTGTGACGTTTTGCTGTAGGTTTGTAAAAAGACAGCTGTAAATCAAATATATTACATGTTGTTAAAGTAAAGTCTTGGTATATAACGTATAGTGTATGTTTACGTTGGATATTTATATAAAAGTTATACGCTATCTTACCAGCAGAAGATGCAGATTCACTGTTAACCCATTCATCAAGGCAACCTCCTCAGCTTTAGCTCCTGTTCGCAAACACGCAAACACACACAGGTGATTTAATTCCCATTGCTCGGATATATAGTGCATTCGTTACATTACAGCCTTATTGTATAATGGATTAAATATTTTTTACTTTTTTTCTCATCAATCTACATACAATACCCCATAATGACAATGCAAAAACAGGTTTTTAGAAATGTTTGCTAATGTATTAAAATAAAAAACTGAAATATATAAGTATTCAGACCCTTTACTCAGTGTTGAAGCACCTTTGGCAGCGATTACAGCCTCGAGACTTCTTGGGTATGACGCTACAAGCTTGGCACACCTGTATTTGGGGAGTTTCTCCCATTCTTCTCTGCAGATCCTCTCAAGCTCTGTCAGGTTGGATGGGGAGTGTTGCTGCACAGCTATTTTCAGGTCTCTCCAGAGATGTTCGATCGGGTTCAAGTCCGGGCTCTGGCTGGGGCCACTCAAGGACATTCAGAGACTTGTCCAGAAGCCACAACTGTGTTGTCTTGGCTATGTGCTTAGGGTCATTGTCCTGTTGGAAGGTGAACTTTTGCCCCAGTCTGAGGTCCTGAGCACTCTGGAGCAGGTTTTCATCATGGATCTCTCTGTACTTTGCTCCATTCATCTTTCCCTCGATCCTGACTAGTCTTCCCAGTCCCTGCCGCTGAAAAACATCCCCACAGCATGATGCTGCCACCACCATGCTTCACCGTAGGGATGGTGCCAGGTTTCCTCCAGACGTGACGCTTGGCATTCAGGCCAAAGAGTTCAATCTTGGTTTCATCAGACCAGAGAATCTTGGTCTGAGTCCTTTAGGTGCAAACTCCAAGTGGGCTGTCGTGCCTTTTATTGAGGAGTGGCTTCCGTCTGGCCACTCTACCATAACGGCCTGATTGGTGGAGTGCTGCAGAGATGGTTGTCCTTCTGGAAGATTCTCCCATCTCCACAGAGTAACTCTGGAGCTCTGTCAGAGTGTCCATCGGGTTCTTGGTAACCTCTTGGTAACCTCCCTGACCAAGGCCCTTCTCCCCCGATTGCTCAGTTTGGCCGGGCGGCCAGCTCTAGGAAGAGTCTTGATGGTTCCAAACTTCTTCCATTTAAGAATGATGGAGGCCACTGTGTTCTTGGGGACCTTCAATGCTGCAGAAATGTTTTGCTACCCTTCCCCAGATCTGTGCCTCGACACAATCCTGTCTCGGAGCTCTACGGACAATTCCTTCAACCTCATGGCTTGGTTTTTGCTCTGACATGCACTGTCAACTGTGGGACCTTATATAGACAGGTGTGTACCTTTCCAAATCATGTCCAATCAATTGAATTTACCACCGGTGGACTCCAAGTTGTAGAAACATCTCAAGGTTGATCAATGGAAACAGGATGCACCGGAACTCAATTTTGAGTCTCATAGCAAAAGGTCTGAATACTTATGTAAATAAGGTATCTGTTTTATTTTTTATAAATGTGCAAACATTTCTAAAAACCTGTTTTGATGATGAAAAAAAAAATGTAATCAATTTTAGAATAAGGCTGTAATGTAACAAAATGTGGAAAAAGTAAAGGGGTCAGAATACTTTTCGAATGCACTGTAACTTTAGAACACATTTTTAACTAATAGCATTTAAGCTATCATAACCTACATTTTCCACACTACATTTCCACACTACATTTTCCACACTACATTTTCCACACTACATTTTCCACACAAAAATACGTCTGAGAAGCATAATGGCCTTCAGTTGTTTGGTTTGGTTGTACTTTGCTCTCTGCAAAAGATGGCACAATGCCAGGGTGCAATTACCTTTTAAAACCAGTCACAGATAGGAGGTCTCTCTGTCATAAATTATCAACAGCCGGACAGAACGATAATAAGCTATCAGAATTACCTGACAATTGAATCATGGATGTTATGAAAGCTGAAAATTACAGGCTTTTAACTGTGTTGTGTGATATAGGGAACCATGATGACCGTGCATTGGATCCCTTTGTTTGCATATCAGTGCAAAAAGCCTGTAAAGGTGCCAACATGCATCGTTAAATAGCCCCATCTCAGCCCTAGCTCATGTTAACTGTTATGTTCATACAACTTAACATAGAATGTCCAATGGTAACGCATTGTATATGATAATACATTGAACATGTGTTATTGTATGAACTTACCAACCACATTAGCCATGAGTTCCTCTATATTGTTTTCTGCCCAGGCCCAAGGTCGAGAGCCTTGTACATGGCCATGAACCCCCCTGTAAATCAGAACACAGAGAAACATTAACAATGCTCACAGCTACATGGATAGGATACAAATTCCACAGATAAAAGTTAGGACAATTATTTTCAAAGAGAAAGGTTCATGGGGGACATTTCATCCACACCATTACTGTACTTTAAATAGTTCACTAAAACATTAGCTGAGCTGATTCAGTGTCATAAAGCGGACATTGAGGGAAACGTTGGGGGAACAACTTACGTTTTAGCCCATTTATCCAACTCCTCGTCGATGTACTTCTTGGCCATTTTGGGCTGGAGGCCAAGTGAGTTCCCCACAAAGTAAATGCATTGCTTGGTGCCATCCACAAGCGTAAGGTCAGCTAGGGTAACATTAACAGAGCATTAGCATAATCAATCCACACATTTTTACTAAGAAGCTTCCCTGCATTGTTCAAATCATGGCATACTTCTTGGCCCCAGAAAGATGCTTTGTTTTACAGTTGAAGAATATGTCATTAAAATGATTCAACTTTCAAACACTTAGCTAAATGAAAGTGCTTAGTCACATTATTCTAACATTTCCTTTTTTCAGCTCAACCCATATGTTGTGAGAATCACTCTCTTCCAGCTATAATACATATCCCAGCTGCAATATTTTCCGACCACATTATATCTGACCAAGCAGGTAATTTCCTCACTATATGTAGGATCTTGTAGACCTATAGGCAGGGCAAAACCATTTTGGTGATTTCTGGTACACAGTCTCATCAAAATAAATCAAATCACAGCACGTTTTTGGACTCATTCACCTGATTAAGTACAATACCATTGGAAATTAATGTTGAAAGTTCCATTTATATTCCTAAAACTTAAGTTGAAAATGATGCTGTCGCTGCTTCTTGTTGACAAGACATTGATAAATAGCCCAATGTCAAAAGTGTCCAAATCAATAACCAATATGCAGAAACAGTTTGTGATATATTGAAAACCTAAGCATATAATGTACTATCTATCTACACATACAGTGCTGTGAAAAAGTATTTGCCCCCTTTTTGATTGTCTCTATTTTTGCATATTTTTGATACTGAATGTTATCAGATCTTCCACCAAAATCTAATATAAAGATAAAGGGAACCTGAGTTTACAAATAACAAAAAATATATACTTATTTTATTTATTTAATTAACAAAGTTATGCAACACCCAATTCCCCTGTGTGAAAAAGTAATTGGGCCCCTTACACTCAATAACTCCTTGGCCTGACAGGTTGAAAACATGGCAGTTGATCAGGGTACATAAATGTCACTTTTAATAACTTAATAAAATATTTCTCAACACTCAATTGTACTCTTTATACTACATTTTAAGACTCAATTTCACTCTGTAAGTGTCCATGGGTACCATCTTGTCCAAAAAGTTGACTCAAGTTTGCCAAAAAGCACCTGGAAGCACCTCGATGATCATCAAGACTCTTGGAAGAATGTTCTATGGACAGATGAGTCAAAAGTATAACTTTTTGGACGACATGGGTCCCATTATGCCTGGCGAAAACCGAAACACTGCATTCCACAGTGCTGGGTCATGCAGCAAGACAATGAACCAAAACACACAATCAAGTCTGCATGAAAATGGCTAAAAAGCAACACATTTGAAGTTTTGGAATGACCTAGTCAAAGTCCAGACCTAATCCCAATTGAGATGTTGTGGTAGGACTTGAAACGAGCAGATCATGCTTGAAAACCCACAAATGTTGCTGAGTCAAAGCAAATCGGCATGGAAGAGTGGGCCAGTGTTGAAACTACCACAACTCAAAAACCCATGGAAACTATAAATATTTTTACATCACTGCTTAGAGGACAACCTGCAGTACAGTCAGCTACATTTTGGAATGTTGAATTTTGATACAGGGGTCACCAAAACAGAAAGAGAAACCGCAACACTGTTTTGTCAATCACTCCTATCGATTATCACGTTTAAATTATTTGCGCGAGAGGGGGTAGATGAGCTTGCATGTCCTGTTAAAACTAACACAGCTAAAAAAACCACACGGAATATGGGAATAATGTGTACATCACTGGTTAGAGGACAATTTGTAGAAAACAGCTAGCTACATTTTGAAGTGTTGCATTTTGTTTCAAGTGGGTTGCCAACGTGGTAAGTGTAATGCAACACTGAAATCAATAGAACAGCTGGCAAACATTTGGGGTGTAGCACTGTTTAAACTAACACGACTCATAGGCCACACGGAAACTTTAATAACCTATACATAGTTGGTTAGATAACTTGTAGAAGGCTTATGTCTATGTTTTGGAATGGCGGATGTTGATTTCGGGAGGCTGCCATCACGGAAAAGGAAACAAATCATGACCCGCCATAGGATATCAACAGTGACAACGGTTTGCTGTTATTTACGTGATAGTTTGACTGTCAAATCAGTGTATAGGTGTGTGGCCAGCGATTTATACTGAGACCGCCCCATATTGAGACCTCCCCGAATTATCCGTGCAATTTGAGAAAAAGAAATGATAGCTGCGTCCTTAGTCCGGCGACCCCCAGTGCCTATGACAAAATCAACAGTACAAAACTAAAGATATTGATATGTTTTAAGCAATTGATTTTGTGTCATCATGTTGACTATAAACTGTTATACTAACATCACCTATCTGAGGTAAAAAGCATGTGGAATTCCCTCCAATTCGATGTGGTCAAAACGTCAGCTTGTGTAATGTAGCTTTCCACATCATGGAAAGTAGCGTACTATACATTAATTAGATATGGCAAAATAATTAAACATCTTAATTTGGGATGATAGTAAATTAAGCAAACACACAGATGCTTTCAATAATCACATACAGCATATTTCTCACTAGTTTAAACATTTAAAGATTAAAAAAATGCTCTTATGCACAATTTAACTGGGTGCTCTAGAAAGAGCTCCCCATAGTGACTATACAGCAGCCCATTCTTTCAACTAACGTGGGACAAGCAAGGCTCATTGTACCCAGAAAAACTCTGACCACAAGTTAGTAAGTGCCAGAGGTTTTCCGGCACATTAGATAATAACATGATGACACTCCACAGACTGCTATGGGGAGATGGAGAAGCAACTAGCCAGTGCATAAAAAGCCTGCATAACATTAAAAAGCATAAAAAGCCTGCTTGCCATTTCACTTACAAGGAGGGAGTTCTGCAACTTTGGGTAATAGAAACTGTTCACGTAGGTGTTTTAGTTCGTCGTGATTGTCTAGATATGTGGCTACTTCATTCGATGTCGGGCTGCATCCCAGCAGAGTAGAGACTCGCTCCAGAACCTTGCGCGGAGAGGTGGCGTCAAATGGGTCCATTACTGAAGTTGAGAAAGTAAAATGATTTAGAGTAATATGCTATTTACAAATAGTTATCAAACAACGCTAGGCCTACAGTATGTATACTATCTACACAGTCTATATACCCACCTCAAATGTTTTGACAGGTTGGCTAAATTACATTTACGCACGAAACCACTGCCAACATTCCAAAGTTCAATATATTCAATTATGACAATTCAAAGTGGAGAAAAAATTAAGTAATTAGGTAATTACCAGATAATGCAAGTATTTCCAATTTCAGTTGAATATACCCAGTCTCTTTCACCAGTTTGAGTTCATCGGACAAATTTACAAGTGCTCTTTCACCCCTCTGTAAACATCCGAAGTTAGCTAATCATTGTATGAGTGCTGACCTCGAAGATAAGCTCACTGGCGAGGTTGACTTAATTAATTCCAGCCTAGGCTACTACATGTCATTTTCTAGCTTTATTATTGATACTGTAAACAACACCTGTATCCAATATGGGCGAAGAAGAGGCACTATGTAGACCTACTTCCTTTATAGACCTACTTCCTTTATAGACTGTCATGTGTTATTTTTCACTAGAGCCTAAAATTTCAGTTCATACTTTCGATTGGGCAGATGTACGTGTTGAGCGGGAGGACATTGAGGCAGGAAGAACACCGTTGCTTGTCTCTAATTGGTTGACAGACCTCTAGTCAGCATGTCGCAAAAAGTTCTCCAACTTTTCTCTTGGACAGGGCAAAACATAACTCGCACTAGAGGACACAGGGGCAGACTGCCCATCTGGCATTTCTGTCAAATGCCAGAAGGGAAGGTCCATTTTTAGCCTAGTGGGCCTGTCTAACTTTTTTGTTTTATTTTTGCAAAATGATCATTATCTGGCTAATAATGGGGGCCTCAAGGAATAAAATGGGCTGGTGTGGGGGCCTCGAGAAAAAAAAAAAGGCCGTTGTGGGGGTCTCAAGGGGGGGGGGGGGAATGGACCAGTGTGTTAGAAATTTAATAGAAAATATACAGGAGCTCTTTGCCTAGGCGACCTCACAGCGCCATGGCAAAATGTGTAGAACAGCATGAGATTAGCTATAAAACTGCAAAGGTTTCTCTCTGCCCCATGGCCTTGAGTTACGCCACTTGATGCATCCCAATAGTAGATTGCCTTGAACAAATCATCCCCTTCAATGCTGCAGAGAGCAGGAGTTGATCCTTGGCTTAACAGTGTCATAGCAAATAACCAGTCTTCCATTAAGCCACCAGTCATAAAGGGTACTTGAACACAAACCCTTCAAACGTCATAATACGCCTTTGCATATTTGTTTCACTTCTACATACTTTAAAAGGCTAATTCTGGATGTTTGGTTGCTTTAGGAGGGAGTTTGGTTGTATCCCAAATGCCACCTTATTCCCTGTAAATAGTGCACTACTTTTGACCAGAGCCATATGGGCCCTGGTCAAAAGTAGTGCACTACATAGGGAATAGTTGTTTGATGTAGTATACAATGGAGCTGTCCCAGAGGTAACCTTGCTGCTTTAGTTTTTTCACCACGAACAGAACTGCTCTTCTTCAAACAAGCTCAAGCATCTCACATTGTAACAATATCTAAAAGCAGCATACACATGTATTGATCCTTTATCTATACCACTTCACAATACAATTGAAAGTGAACCTTGTACTTTTTAGAGTGTATCCACTATCCTCTATCTCCCCCACTCCATTGCAGTCTACCCACACAGATAACTTTATTTTGTTTCAATGTCAGCTATATATTGAAGGTCTTGGATAGCTTGTACTGTATGTTGGGATTTGACAAGTGCTGACCTCCATGGTTTTAATGGACTCTTCTGTGGCTCATTTGTAAGAAGAGAGGAGCTCTCTGCTGCCTCTGCTTTGTGCTGGGACAGGTCTCCAGGGCCCTCTTCTTCAGGAACATGGAAGATAACACATCTTTATGGGCTACATGGCCTCCTTACTGAGCACTATTGACTGGTTGTCAGCTAGCCTTCTAGACAGTGATGCTGGAATTGGACTCTCTTATTGGCTTTTGTCCTCTCTTTTTCATCATATCTCTCTCTCTCTCTGTCTGTCTGTGTGTACATGAAAAGAAAGCCCTGTAGGGGGCAGCGAAGTACCACACACTATTCATTTACATTTACATTTTAGTCATTTAGCAGACGCTCTTATCCAGAGCGACTTACAGTTAGTGAGTGCATAAATTTTTTCATACTGGCTCCCGTGGGAAACGAACCCACAACCCTGGCATTGCAAGCGCCATGCTCTACCAACTGAGCTACACAGGGCTATTCATTTGGATGAACATGATAATAGAAACCTAAATATCACATAAGCCAAGCCAGGACAAGGGAGTGGAAATACATCTAAGGGTGAGGATAAGCTGCAGGTCTAGAGAAGCTGGCTACATTAGCCTTTCACAAGAGTGTCTGGTTGTGTATGTTGGATGCCATTTCTAATTTCAGTACTTAATCTCTCTGATTGCCCAGGAGGGGGTGGAGAAGGCCCTTGCACTCTGGACCTGTCTGTCTTCTAAGACTGTACTGTAAGCTCCACTGGTGTGGCTCTGGCTCCACCAGTGTAGTATAAGACAGTTAGCAAGGCAGGCAGCAGCTGCTTCTGTTCATCCACTACGCCAGGGGACTGGAACACTCAGCTAGCTAACTCCCTCCTAGGACACTGACCTCCTTTGTGATGCTTGATTGAAATTCAGGAGCCTGCCTCCGTACCAGTATCCCAGGCCCAGCACAAGTCTGTAAACAATCAGGGGCATATGGGTGAAGAATGACAATCTCTGAAAACTGAAAGATGGGATGAGACGGGATGTGATGAGATGGGATCCATGGCCGTGATCCCACTCTGAGGGTGTCTCAGGGGGAGTGGGATATTAAAAAACACATTTCCATTTCACACCTTACACTTGTACAGGTTACACACTTGTACATGTGTGAAACAGGACAAATATAAGCACCTCCTTTTTGACCTTTGACATACACACACACACACTGTATGGACATACAGTGAATGGTTTTGCAATTACACTATATTATTACACTCACAGCAGGTGGGGTATTTTACCTGTGTGGTTGGGCTGCCCCTGGCCTGCATATTCCATATTTTTAAAAGGGCATGGAGAGTGGAGCTGCCACAGGTTAATAGAGAGAATGAAGGGACCATCCTGCTGCATCTCCTCAGGGGAAACCAAACCAGAGAGATCAGACAGTGGCTGAATCATTACAGTTTAAGATCAGGCAGGCAGGCACAGTGGTGGGACTTGACTGAGAGGATAGGAAAGGATAGGAGAGGAATGATTACTTTTAACGGACTGAAGAGGGTTTCATATTCACAATGGGTCCTGCAGAGAAGAAGCCCTTAGTCCCCCCCCCCTGGTGCACGTTTTGGTTTTTGCCCTAGCACTACACAGGTGATTCAAATAACCAACTCATCACCAAGCTTTGATTATTTGAATAAGCTGTGTAGTGCAAGGGCAAAAAACAAAATGTGCACCCAGGAGGGGGGGGACCACAGGGCAGAGTTTGGGAAACCCTGGACTAAATAGTCCAATACTTCTTCTGGAACACATTATCCCTTTAAAAGTGCTGAGTTTTGTGTACCTCAATTTTCTTTGGCATTTCACTGCATGGGATGTCATGTGATCTGACAGGATAATCTTACTGACAATTCTTAGAAACACTACTGTAGATGAAGGTGAAGAGATATACATATATGTAATTCCCTAGTTATACTCTCTAGCGCTCCCTCGCTCTCTTGCTCTCTTGCTCTCTCTCTCTCTCTCTCTCTCTCTCTCTCTCTCTCTCTCTCTCTCTCTCTCTCTCTCTCTCTCTCTCTCTCTCTCTCTCTCTCATACACACACACACGAGAAACATCGTCACGTTTACAAATGAGAGGACAGGCTATGTAATGTAGCCCCTCAGTATTGAAAAGTGATAGAGACATTATCTCCCCGCGCCCGTAGCCCTCCCTCCCTTCCGCCTCCCTCCCCTCCTACCTTTTCTATCTCTCTCATGCTTTCACAGTGTCCTCCACTCGCTCACATACAGCGGGGAAGAGGTAAAGGTAAAACGGAAAGGCTTCCGTGACAAGCGAAGTGGCGAACTTCAGTTGACATTTCTGAACGTTATAACCTGACCAGGACCTGCGTGAATGAAGTGCTGCGGCCAGTTCTGATCCGCAACGATGTCCGACTTTATTTTAACCTTTTTGACCATATCGGGATTATTTCAAATTGCTAAAATGCTGACAACTGCGGGGGCAGATCAAGGTAAACAAGTTAATGTTGGGCTATTACTGTCGAAAATCCATCTATTAGTATCTTATCATCATCATCACAATCATAGATTTCCAAAAGCATTTTATGACCTTGTCCTTGGCTTTTTGTCATGTAGGCCTATGTGTTGTGTTGTTTAAACAGTTTAGCAAGGCTTGTTCCAAATCTCTGAATTCCAAATCTCTGAATTACGTGTGTGATGTGCACTGTCACTAATAATGCGAATTCTGATGGAAGTTTTTGTATGCTATTATTATAGATAACATGTATGATTCAGAAGATGAACAGAAGTCTGCTCTATTCATCCAGTGATTCAACCCAAATAACATAATTATTTGATATTGTATAATTGAGCATTAGGTAGGCTACCACTTTCTTTTTATTGTTTTAACTTTATAGCCCACCCACATGAAACATTTTGTTGCAAAGCCTTAACAATATGGACTTGTTCAAATAGATTTATAACAGATGGGAATTAATTCATAATTGATGGATAATGTTTAGGGCTATATGCAGTTGAAAATGTATCAGTGAAAAAAACATTCATGCAAAGAAACTCCATACAAAGGTACCAAATACTCAAATATTGTAGTAGGCTGTATACCTGCTCACCATCAGTAAATGTGTGTCCACTAAGCTACTGGCTACTGGTTAATGACATCCATCTGGTCAGCTTGTTCATTACATGCTCATTTGTTTAGCCTGCCTGAACAATATAAACCTCTGAAATATGGGCTAGGCTACTGAGAGAGGAAGACCTTAATTTCAATAAACACTAGATCGACCATAAATGACCAACATCATTACAGTTTACCCACAATCAACAGTTTTATAGAGGTAATCCAATATTGACAACTCCATTGCTGCCTTAGCAAATAAGAATGGTGTCTTAATGATAGAGAATATGGAGGAAACATACTCAGACAGAGATAGATATTTTCCTTGCATACATGTTTTCAGTGGCTGGCAGAGGTGTCACACAGGTTAAAGAAAATGGTATGGCAAAATTAGTTTGTTTCTTTTCTGGGGCATGGAGTTTTTCCTGATCTCATGACCTAGTCAGGTAAAACTCTGGGTCCTGTTCGTAGGCTATGACAAAATATTATAATTATAGATCGCTTCCCTTATCATCTGTGCTATGACTATAGGGTTGGGTTTTTTCTTGTCGGGTCATGTGAGTTGGAAACACTCCTAAGGTGGAT